ATGTGGGGGGTGTCAGAGAGCAGGCAGGACACCTGGGTCCACGGTGACACGAGGAGCATGGAATGGACACCCCGAGCCCCACAGCACGACTCACCCTGGGCTGGAGCCTCTCTGGTACCCGGCTGGGCACGGCACATCAACACACTGGGCACCTCCACGGGTGTTGAAGCACATCTGGCTCGAGCCACACTGGATTGTGCCCTCTGCACACTCATCCGTGTCTGCAGGGAGAGAGGGAACAAGTCTGAGGGTACTGGGTGCCCACAGCTGAGGTGGAGGTTCAAACCCCGACCCCCACACCTTCCCACCCCTTCCCCGGGCTCTCAGACACTGGGGGAGCAGGACAAAAAGTCAGGCTCTGCGGGGTGCTGAGCCTGGAAACAACCCTCCCAGAGAAGGAGAAAGACTTGCAGCCCCAGAAAGATGACACCCAGGGCACTATGGGGACTGGACATCCCCCTGGCACCCCCACACTGACCATGGCAGGTCTTCCCATTGGACAGCAGCTGGTAGCCAGGGGGGCACAGGCAGTGGTAGCTGCCCGGGCTGTTCCTGCACTCGTGCTGGCACTGGTTCGACTGGCACTCGTCAAGGTCTGTGGGGTGAGAGAGATGAAGGAGAAGCATCAGCCCCCTCTGTTGCCCCCTGCCCTGGGACAGTCTGACTCTCACCTCCCTTTCCCAGCACAGCCAAGACCACAGGGTGCAAACGAAGTGTGGGGGACAGGGCAGCAATGGGCACAGGAGTTACTTTTTGGGGACAAAGCGGCCTCTGAACAATCTGCAACAGCCTTCCCTGACACACACTCACCAGTGCAGGTGCCATTCCTCTTGACATAGCCTGTAGGGCAGGGGGGGCCCCGGGCACCCGTCCCTGCATGCTTGGCCACGCGGCGCAGGGCGAGCTGGGTGTAGAAGGATCGTCCCCATGGGCGGCTCCTCGGCCCCAGCCAGCGCAGGGGGGTGTCCCGGGACATGCTGCCCACTGTGTCCCCTCCATCCGTCCCTGCTGTGCCACACTGTCCACCCGGCAGCAGGATCCTGCCAGGGGGGCACAGGCACTCGTAGGAGCCCCGAAGGTTCCGACACTCAAAGGCACACGGTGGGGGAAACTGCAGGCACTCATTGATGTCTGGAAGAGGAAAGAGATGAGGAGCTGCAGCTGGATGGGGAAATTGAGGCTGTAGCAGGGCAGGGGGGCGACCATGGCCCTGTGGCCAAGTATGTGTCCCCTGAGAGCCCAGCCCATACCCAGGCATGGCCAGCCAACGCCCAGCGCGCGGTAGCCGGGAGGGCAGGGGCAGCGGTAGCTCCCGGCAGTGTTCTGGCACAGCTGGTTGTAGCGGCAGGCGTGGGACCCCTCGGTGCATTCATCGACATCTGGGCAGCAGAGAGAGGACAGGGTTGGGGGGATGGGGAAGTGGAACCAGGTGCCCTTCGCCATCCTCATGCCCCCCTCGGGAAGGGTCCGTACCAACGCAGTACAGCTGCCCAGGGTCCAGGATGAATCCCAGTGGGCACTGGTCTCCATCAGCCCCTGGGATTGAGCAAAGAGAATGAGAAGGGACATGTCACTGCAGGGACATGGTGTTTGCACCCTCACAGACACTGAGGGATCCCGGTGTCTCCATCCCCATCCTTGGGACTCCCCTCATTACCTGCATCAAGTGAGGCACGGAGCTGGAAGTGGAGCTGCTCTGTGGCCGGATCATAGGAGGCAGTGATGGCTCTGGCCCGGAGGTGCTGCACCCGGGGGAGCTGTGGGCCCACAGCGGGGTCGTACACGATGGTGTGATTGCAGCGGGCATGGAGGATGTGCCCATCCCGCAGGAAGCTCTGCACTGAACCCCCAGAGAGCTGCCCTGTGCCCGTCTGCACATAGCGCTCGCTGAAGTCCTGGGGAGAGGCAGGGAGAGGGGTCAGGCCATGGACCATCCCCATGCTCCCAGCACAAGAGTTGTGGCCCCACAGGGAGAACGAGCAGTGCCAGCACCTGCAGCAGCACCGCGGCCTCGCCAATGGTGTCCGGCACGGAGCCGCTGATCACACTGTCCAGCCGCAGGGCACCAGTGGCATCCACGCCCCGGGCGAGGTGGGTGACCCGCAGGAGCTCCCCTGCCAGGGGGGAGCCGTGAGCAGCAGCCCATGGCACCCCCAAACACGGCTCCACCTCTGGCTGAGGAGCTCAGCCTGGAGACGGTGCTTGGGGAAATGGAGTCAGAGTTCCCC